GCCGTTGTTTGGAACATGGTTACCACAATTCACTAAATGTTTAACGACCCACGATTTAGGTACATCGATTCGAAAAATGGTGGGTTCGTGATCCAGATCACCAAAATTGACAAGCCCAAATTGTAATATTAACTCTAAATCAATTCGTTTTATAACATGTAATACAAATATAAAATACATATTAATTGACTACATGTATACAGATTTATAACTATATATTATTTTAGAAAATAAAAAATCAAGCACAATTATAAGATAAATGGTAACTAACTTAGTATTTATAGATATTTTGTAATATATAATATTATATAGTAATAAAAACAATCTACATAAGAGTTCCAAAACGAATTGCGACCTAAAATACCGTACCAGCTAAATCTACCTCTATCGTACCACGTACCCAAGAATGTTTTCTACCATATACTCATACATATACCACGTACCAAAACGACCCACGATCCAGGTATCATTGGTTTGGAACATGTCCTTTCAAATTGATTCAAGCCATGTTGGCACCCTTATTCATACCAAACGAAGGGAAATCTTTTTTTAAACCCAAATCAAGGAATATTTTTTTTAAAATTTAAATATTTAATGGTGAAATTACATCCTATTTTAAAGATTTAATAGTCATATTTTATCCTTCATTGTTGATGGTCTCACGTAAAAAAAACAAAGATTTGTTATTGTTTATATTACCGGTTTTTTTGGTCTTCACATGGATTTTAGAAGGAAAGAAAAGGTCATCGATCTTTGCATGACATTTGATTTTAAAGCCGACATGGGAAACAATTTCTATTGAGGCACTGTATTTATTATATTTTTGAATAAGTCATCATTGACAGCACTACTTACTAGGATATTCAATCTTCCATCATCCTTTACATTGAAATAAGCTCAAGTCAGTATGTTTAAGAAGTTACCTGTCATCTTATTTTGTTGATTTATTATTTAAAATTTATAAGTTTCCTTGCTTTTCATGAATCAAATAGGCGAAGATTATCCGCTTTCACCATCACACTTTTAGACTTTCAAGTGTTGAAAAGAATCATTGTAATTACTGTTAGGGAAGTTGCATCATAGGATAAAGATGAAATTCAAAATAGTGTATTTGCATCAAATATTCTTTCTAATAGTACTTTTGATGGTAATTTTTGAGTTTTTTCTATAGAATGTGATTCTTGACCGATTAAATAAAAATTCAACGAATAAGTTGATTTTATGAAAAGTGATCAATGACTTTAATATTCACATTTCATTTTGAAAATAGTTCACACATTTCATATAATTTATTATTCAGTTTAATTACAAATATAAGTTAATTTTTTATAAAAAAAATTATTATTTAAATATGTGTTGCATGTCTAGCATTGCTAATAATTTAAAAGTGAAGTTACATTTGTTTGAGATAATTTATAATCGATCACAAAATATTGCGATCGATCATAAATGTCCTCTAATCAGTTATTATTTTATTTTTAAAAGTTATTAAAAATGTATTACGTGCGTTGCACGTGAATAATTTTGTATACAAAAGTCAATAAAATATTAGTTATATGTGTATCTGAATTAGATATTGTCTCAAATTTACCAAATTTAACTTTTCATTGCTCATATTCTATTATAGAATCATGAAAACTTTATATGTTCCCATAACTTTTATTCTAACTATTAGAAAAAAAGATAAAAAAAAATAGTTAAAGTTCTTTTTTTTTTTTTAATTTTGTGATTGAGATTGATTTTTTATTGATTTTTGAAAAATTAAATTTTTTGAAATTCATTTGATTAGGATTTTACTTTATAATTTTTTAAATAAAATAAAAGTAATTGTCAATATATTAATCATATATGAACTTTATTGTAATTAGGAATTAGTTAAGGGAATTGAGATAAGATTTAATATACTATTTATAATATATATACTATCAAGCATACTAAAATTCTAAAAAACACTCAAATTATACTTAACATGCATATTAAAATTCTAAAAAAATTTAATTTTTACTTAAAAATATATTACTATATCTATTTTCATATAAAATTTTAATACAACTTAGAAAGTTTATTATAACTGAAAATTATACTAATGTAACATAAATTATTTTTAAAAAAAAATTATATATACGATTATTTTTTACCTTAAAAATGAAATGGTTAAACTTTTCGATAAAAAAAGAAAATACTCATATGTAGGCATAATATTATCTTTACATATAAGATAAGTAATATTAGATTGATAGAATTTTTGTAGATTTTTTGAACACTTTATTGAAAATATAATAATACATATTTTTTAAAGGTAATATTGTCAATCAATTTTTTTTTTATAGAAATTAATATTTACATATAGAGAACAGGTAATTAAAAGAGATTTTAGAGATAATTTGAAATTTTAAATTCGTAAGGATATAATGATAATTTAAATATTTAATTATAAAAAATATAGAATGATCTTTGTAATTTTTTATAACTGTAAAATAGAGATTCAAAAAATTTTCGTGTTAAAATACTTTTATTAATAGTACTCCCTCTGTTCCTAAATATCTGTCATTTTACACAATTTTTTTTGTTCTATAATATCTATCGTTTAATGAAATCAAAACATAATTAATATTTTTTCTTACAAATTTACCCTTAAACTTTTCAATGCATTAGATTAGGTGGAGGATAAGTGTCTTTCATATTCTTTTTCTTCCTAATACGTATTGAAAAGGGATATTTTAGTATTGTACAATTATTTTTTACTCATATTATAGCTATTTAATAACTTCCTTAATTCCTGTGCAAAAACCTTAAACGACAGATATTTAGGAACGGAGGGAGTATATAGGTATAAGTATAGATATAAATATAGATAAAACTTGGGTTTAAAAATTAAAACTTTAACTTTAAAAAATATAACAACGACAAGGATGTGCCTTATAATTCAAAAAATTGTAAACTTAGACCATAGTCCTCTCACACTGAAGAGAAGCCCAGCTAGATCCTCTTGGGCGACGGGTGTAACACAGTCGTCTAACCAGGTTTCCTATTCACTCTCTAAACATCCTTTTGGTAGCCCATGTGAGCTTCCCACAGGATGTGACCTCTCCAACCATTATACACACACAAAACATATCACAAATTTGCCCATCAAACGCTCGCTCTCTCTCTCTCTCTCCAGGCGAGAATGCTTAAATCATATGACTGCCCTTCCTCCCTATGAACTTATCTTTAAAAGAAGTCACTTTCATTCCGACTCTTTTTCTTAGTTTTCTTNAAATTATTATTTAAATATGTGTTGCATGTCGTGCATTGCTAATAATTTAAAAGTGAAGTTACATTTGTTTGAGATAATTTATAATCGATCACAAAATATTGCGATCGATCATAAATGTCCTCTAATTAGTTATTATTTTATTTTTAAAAGTTATTAAAAATGTATTACGTGTGTTGCACGTGAATAATTTTGTATACAAAAGTCAATAAAATATTAGTTATATGTGTATCTGAATTAGATATTATCTCAAATTTACTAAATTTAATTTTTTATTGCTCATATTCTATTATATTCTATTATAGAATCATGAAAACTTTATATGTTCCCATAACTTTTATTCTAACTATTAGAAAAAAAGAAAAAAAAAAAAAAAAAAAGTTAATACACATCAATTACCATCTAAACTACAAAAATCCACACTACCAAAATCCCCACCATCACCTACACCCATTCATTCAGGCTAATGAAATAAATTAGTAAAAAACCGAAATAAACCCTACCGTTATAGTCTTTCTGATAAAAATTCAGAATAATTCCCACAAACAAAAACGTTAAGTGCCGATTTCCCATATTTTCAAAAGGGAGAGAAATTAATGCTGTGTTTGGTGGCATAGAATTGGGTTCGTAAAATTGGAGTTGGATTAAATAATAAAAGACAAATTTTCAATAGATTCTTTTTAAATTCCATTTTCCGGGCCCCAAACTCTTAAGTTTCCAAACAGTGTAGGCGGAATCGTATATGAATTGAATAGGCTCTGCTTACCAGACGAGGTTGATGATGAAGCCGATTTGGCGATAAATTTCGCTCAGGGTTAGGGTTTGATCGGATGTCAACCTGAAGAAGACAGTGCAGTGTTCCAAGTGGCGCGCAGCGTGCAGAGGTTAGTTGTTGTGGATTTGAAACCTGAATGAGGCTGGGTGAGTGACGTAATTAGGTGGAGCGGAGTCTACTGTCCGTCTTTGGATCGGTTTTGGATTAAATTCTAATCTAATTGATTCGAATACAAATTCGATTTTAAAAGTCGGTTTCGAATTTGATACAATAATTTGATGGATTTTATTTTTTGTGATCCGAAATTGTTAATAATCAAGAATTCTATAATAAATTATATTTAAATTTTTTAAAGAAACACTTAATATCTTTAATATTTATGTAAAAATATATAAATAATTCGTATTGAATCATAATTGGATCGGATATAAGTGTATTCAAATTTAAATCCATAAAATTTAAGATATTAGATTTGAGTTCGAATTATCGGTAAAAAAATTAATAATTTATATCCGACTAAATAGATTTTGATTTGAATAAGACTCATCTAAATGATAATATGTATTTGAGTATTAATTTTTGGATGTATTTAAGTTAAGTAGCATTTTTCTTAATTAAAGGAGCTTTAGTAGAAGTTAAACTCCGCAAACAATCAGGGGCGGAGTTAGACATCTTTTTCAATAGCGCAATCTAAATCATATGAATATTAAAATTACTAATATTCACAAAAGTATAGTTTCATTGATAGAACGTTAATTAAAGTCACGATTTATATATATGAGCGTTATACAAAAAAAAAAACTCACTATAAATTTATCTATAAGATGTAATCACCTAAAAAAAATTTAAACCAAAAATTTAGGCTATAGTTGAATTTTAACAAACAATTGAAACAAACGTAAATTATAACTATTCAATTAAACTAAAATTGGGAATAGGAACTACTTAATCAATTACAATAAAATNTTTCACACTCTGAATTTCCACAAAGCAACATTGTTTCTTGTTGCGTGTGTTTCAGGCAGTATAGAAAGTCCTTAAGGTATCATGACAGGTGTGTTATGGTGTGAGAACTTTGGACGAAAGGTCCTCTTGGGTCTTCTGGTTTTCTAGCAAATTTGTGATATCTGATAGGAAATTAAGCAGAGGGTCTTCCTGAGTTTTGTGATTGTTTCTAAGGAAACTGGAATACTTTTAGCAATTTCTCCTTTCCTGCCTTTTATGATTATGATTTTCTAAACTTCTTGGGACTTACTATAGCAGTTCTATAGCGCTTTTGGTTTCAAAAAAACTCCTTTATTGTTATTTTGGGTGATTTTTACTTGCTATAGTATAATATTAAGTGATGATTATTGGTTTCTTCTCTACACAAGTGAGAGAATCTTAGAACAATTCTCAAGCAAGATCACTTTTGTTGAATTGGATGTGCTTTTGCAGGCTAAAAATGACATCTTTTAGTGGTTTAGGTATTGGTTTGAGCTTTGTTTTTGGTTGCATCCTCCTGGGACTTATTGCAGAACTTTACTATCTGTTGTGGTGGAAGAAGAGAATCACCAACAGAGAGCTTGAAGGTGGCTACACCGCCAACAATGCCACAGATCTTTTTTCTCTCTCTTGTTGGAAGAAACCCAATTCAGTGAACAGCAACAACATTCAGGAGCTCAATATATGCGTGAGAAACCCTGATGCCAATGGCCTTGATAAAGACCTAGAGCAAGGGACATGCAAGGATTTGCTGCTGAAAGGCTATGGTGAAGAAGGTGTAGAGTCAGAGCTCATGAGGCTTCACAATCTCTGTGGGCCACCAAGGTTTCTTTTCACAATCAAGGAGGAGACAAAAGAGGATTTGGAGTCTGATGATGGGAAATCAAGAGGTGATAGAAGCAGAAAAGGGTCCAGAACAAGAAGCTTGAGTGACCTTATTATTGCTCTTGATACGCCTTTTCTTACCCCTTTGTCCTCACCACCCTTGAAGACTCACCCTTTTGATTCGTATAACCACCAAGGATTCAATCCCCTCTTTGAATCATCAACAGAAGCAGATATGAATAGGTTGAGATCTTCACCTCCTCCAAAGTTTAAGTTCCTGAAGGATGCTGAGGAGAAACTGATGAGAAGATTGATTGAGCTGGAGGCTGAAAAAAGGGCTCTGAAAAATGATGGTTCTATTAAGGACTCAGTGATTAAAGCTTCTCCAAATTCAATGGTGGACACTGAAGAAAGAGATGGTTCTGTCATTACAGATGGTGTTGGTGAGAATAAAGGAAGAGAGCTTCATCACCACCAACTTGTATGTCATTCAACTCCTTCACAGGTTCTTCCATTGGCTTATTCTCCTTCAACATTCAGACCACTTGAGAACAAATCCAATTGTGCAATAAATCCCATGAATTAACTAGAAATAGGTAATTTGAGATTGTTCTTGTTCCCCCCTCTATTTTTCTCTTTATTGAATTTACAAATGATACTTCTGTGTATTGATTGTTTTCCAATAGGGTATTGAGGTTTTGTTTTACAAATTCTGGGCACTTATTTGTTTGGTTATTGGGGAAGAAGATACCCAGTACCAATTAGCAATCATTTTTGTGCATGGAATCTCGAGTATTCAAGGTTATCTTTCTCTATAAATTGATGCAATGATGTTGCGTGATTCCTTCTCAATGAGAGAGAGCAAATACATTACTTTCTGAGGATTCAATCAGTTGGCTTAATAGACACCACTCTGTCGTCAGAAGTAATGCTAATGCATTCGAATNGAGAGCAAATACATTACTTTCTGAGGATTCAAACAGTTGGCTTAATAGACACCACTCTGTCGTCAGAAGTAATGCTAATGCATTCGAATTCCGTTGTCTCTCGTACATACAGTTAAAAAAAAAAAAAGAGTTTATGTTGATGATTCCTGTGGAAGATTTGTGGGGTAATCTGTTCTTCTTTAGGCCCCCTTGCTACTGTGGTCTCTTGAACTAATTATTGTTGTGCATGATGGTGGTACCATTGCCAATGGCCCCTTGATCCTTTCTTTATCACAATGATGGTCTCTCTTTATAATTCTAAATTTGTGTCCTCCATATAATTATTGATGTATTTTGAGCATCTATTTTACGTGGAATACGCCAAATTGAGGGGAAACATTTGCTTGGGATGTGACTTGAATGAACCTGTAGGTTCAAGCTTAGGGTGGGTCCAAATATACTAGCTAAATTATTNCGCCAAATTGAGGGGAAACATTTGCTTGGGATGTGACTTGATCTTACAACTGAAGCTCCTTTGTCACCGGAATGAACCTGTAGGTTCAAGCTTAGGGTGGGTCCAAATATACTAGCTAAATTATTTAAAAATAAGATTGAAGTTATAATTCGGTGAAAATTCAGCAAAATGAGATTGTTTTGAATTAGTCCTCATATTTTTTATCGGTCTAACATTTTAGGATCGATTTCAACTTTTTTTTAATGATAACTTAAGCTAATTGAATTGTATAANATAAACGTCGTGAATTTGAGTTGCAGAAACAGAATTTTCGCATGTAACGTTAAAAATTTGTATATCTAACATTTGTCAGACCTAAAAGTGAAGGGAAACTCGTGCACAATAATACCCTTTTTTAGATTTACGATTCTGGGTCTAATTTTCTTGTAAGAGAAATGTAAACAAAAAAAATAAAAANCGGTAGTTATAAGAATGAACTGTAAATTCAGACGTTTTGAGTTCGAATTTTAGTTATAAGAATGAACTGTAAATTCAGACGTTTTGAGTTCGAATTTTGATAATCCTTACGCCATAAGAAATTTGTCGCTCATGAATATCTTAGTCTCGTACGTGAATGATTTGCCTTTGACCAAGCGGGAGAGTGTATTAGTCGGGGTGTGTATAAGTTGAGTTAGACACTCTTAATGGTTGAACTTAAAAAAAAATAGAATTTCAATGAAGAATTCCAACATTTAGAGTTACAATAATGTTATTCGATCACGTCACTATCATATCATTAATTAAGTCAAAATTTTAAATCGATATAGCATTAGTCGTCTTTTTTTTTAATTGAAAAGTAGGTAAAGAGGCACCCGCACAAGCATACACACATGTAACCCTCTTGGAATTCTTAAAGATAGCTAACAAAGAAGTGATTCCTTGAGTAAAGCTACTCTGTCTTTCTTCTTAAAGTTTACTTATGAAAGAATATACTACTTTTTCTTTTTTTTTTAACCTTGAATTATGGAATTGCAGGAAGGTAAAGGCATTAATAAGTTTGAAAAAATCCGAGGATCATAGGCCAATATGTATTGCCTTTATGTAGTACTACTTTGAATTTTTGTCTAAACAATAAGGAATGCCATTGCAATCACACGATTTGGCCGAAAGTTGCCCTACCTTGACTCATCAGTTTATCATGCAAAGCTTCAATAGCTTTATTTTTTTAAGATGAACAACGATGGATAAGGATGGATTTCGACACACTAGTAAGGATGTTCTTTTGTGATACAAACGTCGTGGATTTGAGTTGCGGAAACAGAAATTTCGCAAGTAACGTTAAAAATTTGTATATCTAACATTTGTCAGACCTAAAAATGAAGGGAAACTCGTGCACAATAATACCCTTTTCCAGATTTACGATTCTGGGTCTAATTTTCTTGTAAGAGAAATGTAAACAAAAAAAATAAAAATCGTTATGTTGTTTGTAAGACTTGATCCGAGGTGCTGACTGGAACAGACTCAAAAAACTTTAGAATATTGAATTATTTTAATTAGTAGCTAAGGACAGCATCCTTCAACGTTCAAATTAGCCAACTTTGGTTGTAATTAGATATGGATAATTAGTGGAAGCTTAAACATCGCTTTAATTTCAAGATAGGGAAGTACATGATTTCATGTAAGACTAAGACTATTAAAGACCCCAGCACTGTGGTCCACATAGTTGGGTGGATGTTTGGGGCCCCGCCACAATAACTCACAACAGATTCTAGATGGCATTTAGATTAAGGTCCACATTTGTTCTTGCCTTCACAAGTTGCAATCTTGGCGCATTTAAATTTGAATTAAATAGCCCAAACTGACAGTGTTCTTCTTTTGGGCTGTTGGTTTTTTTTTTTTCACCAGTCACAAGTATTTTGACCAATTTACGTGAATTTTAACTAATTCCCTCTCCAGTTTGGTTGAAGATAGACCAATTACACTGATACTAAAATATTCGTGAAAGATAAATCTCATATGATCTGACCCAAAGAATTGTTAATGTCTGGACAATCAAAGATTTAGACCAACTTATTTTGAACATGGCCATAATTAGTTGGTAAGCATCGACAACTCTGTGCGATATTTCATTAATGATTTTTGTTTTTTTGAACTTTAACTTCTCACACAACTAAATTTTATATTTCTATAAAACCAAGAAAAAAAAGTATAAATATCATCTTATATTGACAGATGTCATGTTTCCTGTGGCCGGTGAACCACCCCCTCAGACTCTCGACAAGAGCCTACCCCCATCCACTCAACTAAACCATAGGCTGCGCGGCCTTCGGGGCTCTATAATGAGTATTGCATCTTTAGAGTTGTAATCTTTTCATGCAACCCAATAAGAGACTTTATGTTGTATCTATTATTATGTAGCAAAATCCAATACCAAAAACAAAAAAAACAAAAATCAAAAAGAGGATATGTCATATAAGTGTGTTAGGTGGGAATGGGTTGGCATTAGAATATGGTTACCCAACACTTTGGAAGAAATGAGACCAAGCTGGATTGCTTAATGGAAAATTCTGATATGGAACGATTGACATTTGACAAGCTTGATATGAAAAGTGAAAACAAACCCACTAGCATGTTTGCGTGTTAAAAGGATAAGTTAAAATCAATCCTTCATTAGAGTTACAAGAAATCCGGTCGGGCAAAGACAAGTGGTTGGCAACCACTATTACTTTGAATTCCCCCACCCACCCTACACCTATTGAACGCCACGGCACCACATCAACTTACAATCTTGTCTTCGTCTTTCAAATCAAGAATACTTGGAATGAGTAATGTTAGTAAGATTTAAAAATTTGATATAATTTATTAATTTAATTATAATTCATACCATAAAATAAATGTATGACTGTAAAATGATTGTAAAGAGATTCGAAAATAGTCGAAAGGAATGTGTTCATGTGTGAGTGGTTGATTCTGGGTATAGAGCTTAAGTGCTCTTTGATGCCACAAAAAGGTAATTACTTAAAGAAATGAAATGACATGGATGATTCAATGCCAAGCTGAAAAACTTGACTAATCCACTCTAATTGAGTTTTTTGTTATCTAATTTCTATTGCTTAGGGAAAAAAGTAATTACAATGAGATTTTAGAAATCTTTCTTTAGGGTATATCCACCTATTTATACAGAGATTAACTTTTATCCTTATTCCAATCATGAGGAGGTTGAGCTATGATAAATAAAAAATCATCTACTGATTATGATATTATTAATAATCATTGAATTTGATAATACCAAAAATTATCAAAGGTTAAGCTCGGCCCAAAAATAGCTCGGAGACATGCCCCCAATAGGGGTCCGCATGATGATGTGAGAATCTGGGTTCCAGTTCAAGACAACTAAGGTCGTGTGAACGAGTTGATCTCCCAATCCCTAACTTTCCAACTAGTGACCCCAACTTAGACCTTCCAGTTCATGATTCCTAGCTCGGGAACCACATATCGGGAGTCAGTACCAACGTGATCGTCGTGCACACTATGACAACAATAGTTCACACCTTCTAGAATGTCGCATCATGCCTAAGGAATATCGTCTCTAATGGCCAAATATTTCATCACATGGGTTGTATTAATCTCGAAGGGTTCACACTAATTACATAAGGACCATGCTCCTACACACTATAAATAGGGATCAATCCCTCACATTGTGGAGGATCAAATATATGTGAATTGACTCTCAAGAGCATTGTAATTGTCTTCCTAAAGCAATAGAAAACTCCCCCAAGAGTAAGAGACTCCATTAGAGTGGACTAGCCAAGCTTTCGAGCGGTGAATCATTATAAACCCCCTGCCTGTTGATTTTCATTCTCTGCTATTATCCTTGTGTTAATTGTTTAACCACCGAGAGCCTAGGAGCTCTAATTAGGTATTCTAGGGAACTCCATTAAGGTTACTTACAAATCTCCAATCCATTTATCTCTTTTGACCCACGAGCTTTGCTACATATCCGCATAAATTACACCATCNGTAGCTCTAACTGGGTATTCTAGGGAACTCCATTAAGGTTACTTACAAATCTCCAATCCATTTATCTCTTTTGACCCACGAGCTTTGCTACATAAACAATTATTTTGATTCCTACTAAAATTCTACTGATCTTTGAGTAATTGTTGGTCTCTACGTGTAACATGAGCAAAACTCAGGGAAATATATTACGTTTGCAAAACCAGTAAGAAGTCAATGTCGTGGGATAACAGAGAATCCCAACAAGCCCTCTACTGAATCTAGAAGATAATTTGTCAATGACAGATCCCCCTTCAAACAATGAACTAGAAGCGCTGTGTCAAGTCAATGAGCGTCTCCTTAAGCAAAATGAGGATCTAGAAAAAATCTCTAGAGGGCACAACCAGTCCAAGATTATTCCCTGCATGGGGAGAATCATCGTAAGAATCCCTTGAAG